TTCGTAAACCCTTTATAAGGGTAGTCTTATTGTAAAGTGGTACCGGAAACTGATTTATTTTTGTAGCCAGTGCGTGTTATCCTCGTTTCACTCATTTCATTTTGGTATTCTTTGTGGTAGTTAACTATTTTGTAGATTATTCCTTTTGTTATAGGTTAGGTGCGCTGCAGCTTCTCAAGGACAAGCAACATTGTCCGCGCAAAAATTGCTTTCTGCTTATTGTTACTCTCCTTGGATGTTCGACCTTCAGTGTGCAGAATGATGTATGTGCAGAGTTTCTTTCAAACTCTTCTGCTGAAGGTTGGACATTCTTCTGTGCTCACCTTGAATTTCAGTTTAGGACATGTATAACAAAAGAAAACTGAATTTGGGTCATGATGGTCCAGTAGGCCTATGGATGTGCAAGCGTCACGTGCAAAATCATAGTGTGAACTAGCAGGGACATCTTATTCAAATTATGTTTTGAAATTCTTTTTTCATTGTGGCATAATGAATGTATGTTTTGACAAGTCTTATCAGGTCTTTAGGTAGATGTAGGCTACAGGTCTTTGTGTGAAAAAAAACATCACACTCAAAAGGTTATTTCAGGTCTGCAGTTATTTGGATGTCTGAAAACAAAACTGGTTGAAATTGTTTTGACATTTGGACATTCAGAGACTGACCTTTTTAATAGAAAAATGTTTAATTGACAAGGCTAAGCAAGTTTCGTCTGTGGTAGAGGCAGCAAACAGTGTAAACAGCATGCATAAATGGAACTTTCCAAAGAGCAAAAGGTGACAATTTTCCTACTTTAGGAGTTCATAAGAGTTCATTTAATCTCACTTAAACATTGTTGTATTGTGCAGATTTTTCACCATTTCTCTCATTAACATGGGATATGCTGAATATATTTGAATCCGGTAAAGTGGGGCTTTACTTAACGTTCATATGAGATTTTGGACATTAATATATCAACTAACAACTATTTGCTATGTTAAGATATTGTGAACAACATCCTAAACAGATGATTAAATCATATTCACTCTGTGTGTGATATAGTCTGGAGTTTTTCTGTGCAAATGCAATTTAGGCCAACAAGTTATTTTAGCCTAGTATAACTACTGGAGGAAACTGCCCTGATATCAAGATGGAATAAATAGGCTACTCCAAAGGCTTATTCCCACACTTGTTGCTTGAAAAGAGTAAGTACATGCTGTTCAACCACTAATAAGATCTAATGTGACCAGATGTCCAACATGTACTGACAAAGAGGTGATAAATAATGATGTAAACTGGGGTCTGTTAAATGTATTGCTCAAATTGCCTGTTAATATTTGCAAGCTAATGGCCTCTGCTCTGAAATGTCGTAGCATTGTTAGCATTGTTAGCTGCTAGCCACCAGCTCAGCCGTCACTAAAGTGAGAGCATGGATGAGAGCCGTGTGGAGACAACCTCTCAAGTCATAGAAACGCTCTGAAAACATTATAGAGAATATTTAATGGATGAATAACCCTGTTTTCTGCAGCAGCAAGTGGACTTTTCTCAGAAGAGAACATCTTCCCAGATACTTTGAAGAAGTGCACTGAGAGGTTTCTATACATTTGCTGGCTTGGTTTTGACAACTGGACTCCATTGTAGCCAAAGTGGATGTTAACTAAAAACCCAAAAAGGATCCGACCAAAACCTGTTTCATCTGAGATTAACTTTAAAGCTACCTTGTTCAATATCACAGCTTTCCAATTTGAATACCAATACTGCACATATTTGTATTTTATTTGGTTTATGATATTGATATCTATATTTTATGTAAATATTTCTTTATATTTTAATGTCTTTTTTGTATTGGCCCTTTTCTTACAATGTATCTTCTTTAACTGTTAAATTATGCACCATGTACAGTTTGTACACCAAGGCAAATTCCTGGTATGTTTGAACCTACTTGGCATACATCTGATTCTGACCTTAATGTTACAATTTAAGACTGGGGGTTAAAGTGAAACAGTAAAATCTATTCATGGCTTACATGTAAGGAAATTCTGTCAGCTCAATTGATTATATAGTAGGAAGTTAGTTTTGTTAAATCAGTGTTTTCACTACAAAAATGACTCAAAATGACACCCCCTTACAATTATAATGCATGTGTACCCCCCATATCAATAATCAATCAAAGGTACTACAAGCTTGGGATAATAAACCAAGTTATGTTGAAGGGAGTATGTTACTTTACTCAGCAGTTCAATCTAAACTTTAGCTTCACACTTAGCCGCTCTGCCTCAAAGTTAATGATGTGCAGATGGTGAGGCAGACTGCATGATGGGAATGAGCCACAGGTGTGCAGGGCTGGATGAATGGCTACCGCTGAAAAACAACACATGTGAGGATTTCTTTTTTTTAACATGGCAAAGCTTGGCACTTGGAAATAGAATTTTAGCTTTATTTCAAGTAAGTGAAACTAGTGGGTTTAAGTCTTCATACAAAATGGAAAGACGTCTTAAGTGGGGATCCTGATATTTTACAACTGACTTATATTGATTAATTGCTTTTCCCCGAGCAACAATAAGAGGATTCCCTAAACTAAATGGCAGAGAGTAGACAGCAAATGGTAGATCGCCATCCCAGGTATAGGCAAATATCTGTTCCTAAATATAAGCAACTAGGTCAATAGAAAAAGATAAATATCCTACCTTACTGCTTGCTATTTGAATGTATAGAGAAACCTGCTAAATACTTTAAAAGGGTTGGTTTGGGTCTTTAAATCTCACAGGCAGCGTGTATTTTATAAAGAGCTGGGTCCATAATTATTCCACCTCACCATACTGTGATGTCTCAGAGTTCATTGGAAGCTAATGTGAGGCTCGATCAGTGTTTTAGTCGAATGGAGTGGCCCCTCACACACTGAGGAGTGCAGACCTGTGTGTTTTTGAAGTGCTGTAGCTGCTCATGGTACTCCTCATGTTAACTGCTCCAGCCATCAGCACACATCAGGTTTAATTGGTGGCTACTTTGTTGTTGTTGTTGATTTATAATACCGCGGCACATTTTTACAGACTTATCATTGATCAGATGGACACAAACTCAAATTCACATGATAGCTAACGTTGGTGTGTAGTGACTGGAAGGGTTATTAATAACTCAGCGTTTGACGCCATATTTGCCATTTTAACTTCAGGTGGTACTATTTCAGTGTTGTCCTGACATCTTGCCAGTGGCGTAAGGTTGTGATTGGGGCCCCCCCATCACCCCAAACATAAGCACACGCTGATGCGCTCACACACGCACGGACATACACAACCATTCAGAAGCGCCACATGTATAGGTTATCAACAACAGCCTGCCCTGGCGTCAGACCACCACAGCCTGACAACGGCACAGCGAACTAAGGCCCCGGCCACACGAGGACGCATACGGCTAAACGCATAGGATTAACGCAAACGCTAAAAAACCTTCCGTCCACACGCAATGTTCACCGGATAGTGTCTGTCCACACGAGACAGCTCCGTTTAGCTCCAACCGCTGGAGAAGCTGCAGTACATATGCAGGAGCCTGTACGTGGCGCTGTAACTTCCTCCACAAAAGCAGCGAAGAAGCATGGTTGTCATGGTTGCCCTTCTGTTTATTCTCCGCGGTGGGGGCCGAGGGAACCGGGCAGAGTTTTTCGCCAGTCAACGTGTGCTAAAGTTTTAATCTTCCGGACAAAATTATAAAAGTGCCAGTCAAAGGTCTTCTTTGTTATTTATTGAGCTTTAAAACAAATGAATAACGAATCTATATAATGTAATAATAAAATACATGGAGCCTCTCTTTTTCCTCCCTCTCTTCGGACAGCGTCAGTGTCTGTCTCAAGCAGCAGCTGATCCAGTAATGAGTGACCCGACAGTAAAAATAAACATATTTATAACTAGTTTAGGTAGTTTGAGAGGTAATTAAAATAGCTAAGGGNNTAGCAACGGTCTTCTGTTCAGAAAAGGACACTGAATGTCCTGAATGTGGCATCACACACATGACTTGAGTCTGAACACAGTGCACACTTATTCTCTGTCTTACTTACTGTTACATAAATCCCATGAATGTATGAGATTGAGTTAGCTTCATCATATTTCAATCAGAGATCAACATATGTTTAAGTGAATAATAAAGTTTCTATGAGGTTACTATCAGCCTGTCACTCATTATTTTCAGGGAGGGGGCAGGGTTTGGAGGAACAGAGAGGAAACAGTGATCGCAGAAGTTTTCCTCCTGCTTTCACAAACTTGACACACGTATTTATCCTCTGAAAATAGCAAGAGGACAATTGTACTCTGCAATCCAAGACTTGATTAAATCCACAAAAAACCTGACATGGTGCTAACGCGAGTATTTTTTAAAGCATAAATCCATGTGTGTCTGAGCCGCAGCAACACTGATTCAGGTGCATTTATTGTCGTCGGATTTTTCTACACAGTCCGCGGCGAGCTACTGAAAAGCTGCCGAGGTGTTGGAAACCCCTGGTCTATACCAGTGCTTCTCAAACTTTTTTCAGTAATGTACCCCCTTTGAAACATTTTCTCAGCCAAGTACCCCCTGACCGACCCCGAACATTTTTGATCAAAAAACCCTATACAAATAATTCCAATATAGTGATGTTCCCTCAGTGTGTGATTTATTTACTCCTTCATGCATGCATTACAACAAACTAAGGATATTTTCATTTTATGCATGAAAAATAATAACATAACGAAAAGAAAATGTAAACAGATTTTTCCAAGGAGTTTTTCAATTGAAGTTTAACAAACCAATGAACAAAATAATATATTATGCAAAACTATACAATACACACATTTGACATGTTTATATGAGGTGGTTCTAGGAATATTTTATATAAAATTGTGTTTTCTATTTAACTTATTGTACTAAGATTATTTTTGTAATCATGCATGGTATTTTTATTTATTTATTTATTTATTTCATCTCACGTACCCCCTGCAGTACCCCAACGTACCCATAGGGGTCTGCGTACCCCCATTTGAGAATCACTGGTCTATACGATAGAGAACTGTAGCGGATACAACCCGTGTCGTCTCCGTGTGGACGTGGCCTAAGAGGGGGGGAACCTGCATATTGCAGAAGACTCTTGCCACGCTGATAAGGATACAGTCAGTGCCAGGAAATAGGACTTTTCCCTTCAGTAGCTCACCCATTATGCATCCCACTGACCAAATATCAACTGTAACAGAAACACCAGAGGCTTAATAATTAAGCATATATTCAATCAGTTCTGAATTTAAGTATTTAAAAAGAGTCCTAAATGTTTATTTTTCATACCATTCTGATTGTAGTGCATCCAGTTGAGCATGATCTCCGGCGCTCGATACCAGCGAGTCGCCACATACCCTGTCATCTCATCGTCTGTCTGTCTGGCCAATCCAAAGTCCAGGATCTATAGGACAGGAAGACAGCCTTTAATAGAGTCAGAATGTTGCAGTGAAGGATCAGTAGGTTAACTCTCAGTCTTACCCTCAGCTCACAGTCCTCATTTACTGCCACATTACTCGGCTTTAAGTCCTGGAGAGATAGTAAAGCAGAGAAGATATAAGAGGACCTTGATTCCTAGCCATATAATAGACTTGGAGAACAATAAACAACATTATAGCAGTGTTTTAAAAAACAGCATTGGTTAAACATAACAAATCGTCTATGAAGTTTGTTGAGGGCTATTACAGTGGAAAAGCATTTTTTTTTAAGGGGGTTAACTATCATTTGAAACCAAGCAAATGTCATATAATAATGTGGGTGTGGTCTATCAAACTTAAAGTAAAAAATGAGAAGCAAAGAGAAGGGACTTACTCTGTGGATCAACCCCGCTGAATGGATGTACTGTTGGAGAGGCGGGGGGTGGGCAGGAGGATGGGGGAGGAGAGAGAAGACATAAAGGGAGAAAGCGGTCACTAGGGAGGGTCACCATATTAGCCCTTGTCCAAAGGGAAACTGCTTTTGTCTGTTCCATGGAAACCGTGAAGGCCGAACAGCCCATTCAGTGTGAGAATGCGAGCTTTGGATGAAATCAACAAAGAATAACAGAAGGACGAACTCAATATAAACATAGAGAGGACTTAGCAACGTAGACTGTTGTTTCCAAATACTACTTTAATTCACTTTAAGCATCTTATACCACTTTGAATTATAATTGAAAAAAAACCTAAACAAGAGTACAGAGTTCTACAGTTAGCAGAAATAAATTAATAAATAGTTCAAATATGTCGGATAATGGGCTAAAATATTTAGCTAAAAGTAACGATATATGCTTGACTTCGACAGCCAGAAGTAATAAATAAACTATTCAAAAATAGTTAGCTAAAGGTTACTGGTTTAAATGACAAAAATCTGTCTATGCTAATTGAAAGTATGAAAGAAAAATTACGATAGCATCCTAAAGAGTGACAGTTCAACTTTATGAAAATATATTGTAACCATGATACTCTTTTATATAATTAATAGAGGAATTAAAATGTTCTTTAAAATCAATTCAAATGAACACATTTGGGACGTGACGGGTGGAGTCAATGAGGGGGCTGTGGGGGTCCATCAGACTGAAATGGTTGGGAATCTCTGGTGTACCATCTGAATACTAACTTCTTATATTATGTATATGCGTATGGCATATAGCAGGTGTATGGTCTGTGAGCTGTAAATTACCTTGAGGCCGCGCAGAAGCTGGTAAATCAAGAACTGCACGTGTTCGTCTGACAGCCTCTGAAATTTCACGATGTTGTTGAGGTCTGCACCCATCAGGTTAGTCACCAGGTAGCTGGAAAAGGGGAGAGTGTATGAGTGAGAGGGAGCAGTGCTGCTGCCATGGCAACCGTAAAACACCTCAAGCCTATAATCCCCAAGGATGGCCTCCTCCAACATCTACTCCCCCTTTTACCAGCAGAATCATTGTGTTTGTGGAACAGCTGTATTGCATGTAGTAAACATGAATGGCTGAGAGATTTACAGTTCATTGAAGTCCTCTAACGTTGCAGCAGGTGTGAAGACATCCAGCAGCCCGATTACCTGCAGAGACAGAGACAAACATAGCAGATCGATATCAGACAGACATGCAGAGAGCCGTCTATCTGCCTCCGGGAATTTTTATGCGCGGCACTAACATTCTCGTGTTTCATGTGCTTGAGCAGCCTGAGTTCCCGGTACGAGCGGCGGCTGTGGATCAGAGACTGGAAAGGCCTTGATAGTTTCTTCACTGCAACCTTCTGCCGCAGGACCACGTCATACGCCGAACTGGAGAGAGTAAACAGAGAGAAATACATTTAGAAAAAAGTACCATTATAATTAAGAAGATACTCATGTACAGTAAACATGATGCTACAACCAAAAGACATGAAGACTGTAAACAGCTACCCTAGCTGAGCAAAGGTAAGCAAATACACCCACCACCAAGTTTAGCTTACTTACTATCTTGTTTGTCTGTGTAAAACATTATCTTTGTGGTTTTATCGCGGGTAATATGCTGGACATGTTCTCGGTGTTTACTTCCTCTGATTTCGTTACGCTATAGGCTAGTTGTTTTTAAATGTTTCCTCTAATTATCCAAGCTAATCTAAGTCCCAGCAAGGAACATCATTTATTTTTCACACTTTTTCTTTTAAATGCAAAAAAATAGAAATACAGTGTTATTGTGAGCTTTGGCTGTGTGGGTAGATGCATTTTTTTATTTTGGATAAGGCCAAACTGTTTTAACATTTCCAGAATGCATCAAACCTGATACCAGCTGATGATGATGTCTGTATATGACTGGGGGAAAGAGCAAGACTGATAGAGAACGAGATGGTGAAAGAGGATGTGGTTGAACAAGAGAGGCGCAGATGTCAGATATTGTAAAAGTGTGGAGTATTATTTCATGTTCTTCTTTTGAAATATTAATGCAATTCCACATATCGCACGCTGAGCCCTGCTGCCTCTGATGCCGCTGCCTTTGTGCCTCCAATATCTCTTCAGTCCTGGCAGCTCCTCAACACTCACAGCAGTTATAATACAGCCAACATGAGCAGAGCACACAAACAGGAAGGAAACATGGGTGAGACGTGTGAAATAATGTGCAGCACTGCAGAAATGGAGCAAGAAGAAAGAAGTGGAACACAGAAAGGAACAAAGTGGACATTCCAAGTGGAGTAAGAGGTGACATAAAAAAGAGGATGCATACTTGATTCGTACTGCACTAGTTTACTTTTTAATCTGCATGACCAGCCTGTTCTATAGCATATTTCAATTGTAAATATTTAACATTGTCTGTGGCGTGTGGCGCAGTGGTTCATTTCAGGAACTCCTTGAGGTTGTACGAGTCGAGAGACCACCCCCACATTATTATGTTTGAAATAAATCTGGTATTTTCCATATTTCAACAATACTGTGTTTATTTTAACTGTGAAAAAAACTGTTCGCCACACGCTTTCTCATATCCATCCTGCCTTGCTGCACAGCAATCAGATATATTTAATTTGTAATAGGTGAGGCTCTTTGTATTTAATTTATCCATGGTTGTGGCAGTACTACATTTCAATTTATTTTTCACCAAAAAACCTGCAATATTCAGTTCCCAGTTAGAAGAGTGGAAGAGCCCACTGAATGGTGCGTGCCTCCTGTTTCTTCAACCGTATGAAACTCAAAGTAAATATTAATGTATCATCTCATGTTGACCAATATTGCTTACATGCATGGGTAAACTACACCCTATGTGCATCCATGTGTAGTGTGATCACCTGCTGCCAGTCCGGAAGTCTCTGCCAGGCGTGAGCCCGGACAGCAGCCAATACCTCCTCAATCTGTGACACACACCTCACACACTGCACTGCCTCACACACTGCCTCACACACCTCCCACACTGCCTCACACACCTCCCACACTGCCTCACACTGCACTGCCTCACACACCTCACACACTGCCTCACACACTGACCTGCCTCGCACACTGCACTGCCTCACACACTGCCTCACACACTGCAGCACACACTGCCTCAAACACTGCACTGCCTCACACACTGCCTCACACACTGCANAGACCTGTCCAACATGGCAGCAAGTAGGTATATAGACATGGTATTTACAGGGCTACATGTACATACCTAGAGACATTGACAAGTACCAACAGTATATTTATATCTCGCCCTGTCAATAAGCCTCACCTTCTTGGCAACAACTGTATTGTTTGTGAAGCGGTGGAGAGACAATGCACAGTTTGACCCACTGCTGTAACCCATGGCCAAAGCATATCTCTCTGTCCCAGCAACATCAGTACCAAGCAAGAGAGTTTCTTCCACAGCAGGGGATATTGTAAACGCCCAAACATCCCAGCTTCCACCTGGAAATGTGGACGTGTTCATATTCCTAAAAGATAACCTTGATGATGCTGAGGGAGTGAGTTAGTGAGTGACTTAAACTAAAGCGAAACTTGATTTATTCTATTGCAGGGTCTGGTTATTATATTGTTGACACTTTAAAATACTACTATCCTACTAAAATGCTGTACAAATCAGATTTATTATTGAATAAAGAAAGAAAATTCAAGTAAAAAGAAAATTCACTTTTTTTTTTTTTTCAATATCGCGATAAATATCGTACCGTGGACTTTTTAATCGCGATATTATCGTACCGTGAGTTTTTGGTATCATTACATCCCTATCTAGGAGTGCTCTCGAAATCAGTGTCTTGAGTTTTGTATAACAGTATAAATGAAATGGCAGGTGCATTTAAAAAACACAATAGGTGGATGACTTTAAAGTCTACACAGCACTTAATAGACCCATTAGGACTGATTGTATTATTCTGGGAAGTTATCACAGACATCCTTGGTCCAGACATCTACAAAAAAAACTGGCCAAAACTATAACATCATGTGGTCACAATCATTGTAAGGCATTAGTAGTCGCGAGTATCACTTCTTTGCAAACCATTCAACTGAAAACTCCACATTTCCCCAAAAGAAGGCGCTCTCATTTCTCTCGAGAACAAGCTTTCTGAATGTCATAAAACTTTTAACTTATTTGGCATTTGAAAATCACTAAAGAAGATAGACAACTTTAAAAGTCTGTCAGTCGTCAAAACCCTTAATGGTACTATAAGAAAGAATTTAAAAACGTCGGGAAAGTTATCACAAAGAAAATATGACATCCTTTATCCCGACATCTTACAAAAAGGCAACATCACACTGAGGCATTAGCAGTTGCTTCTTATTCAAGGCAAAACCACACATTTCCTCAAAGAAGCCGCTCTCATATCTCTCTAGAAACAGCATGACGGATAGTGTTGTCTCTCTCTCATTAGCCTCCATCACCTTATACTCTTACAGGTTGCTAAATGTTGACCATGGATAAGGAGGGATCACTCAAATAGCACAAGGTCAGAACCGGTGATACACAATCCATCTGGCTGCAGATAGAGCAAGACAAGAAAGGCCACTGCCCGCTTCTAAGATCATATTCTGTTTAATTTGAAAGGTGGTGAAGCTCCCCTTCCTAATGTTTGTGACGAGACTCGAAATGTAATTATCACTGAACTGGAACAGGTACTGGAAATCAATAAGTGTAATTAAATTGTTCAGCCTTCAAATCGTGTGATGCTGTCATTAGGCTTTTAATATAACCGGGGCCTATCAAATAATGTGATCAGTTTCTTTGAATTCCTTCCTCTATTGCAAAAGAGCAGAGCTGAGGCACATTTGTCTAATTATCTCCCTCCTGGTTCCTTTCACTCTCCCTCCCATGTGAGGGGCAATGAATTGCGGAGGCGTCAGAATATTTCGGCAGGATCATGAATCACAGAGAGAAAAATGCTCACAACCCGAACACACCGCCCTCGACACAACTAACCCTGACAGGTTGACATATTGTTAGGGCGTGAAAGGCGGAAAGACGCTGTTCATTTGAAAAAACTGTGCTGCAAAACTAAATAAAGCCAGTGTTCAATTAATTACTTTTTTTGTTTTGTTCAGTAGATGAAGCGTAAATGCAATTTCCAGAACGTTAGGCTATAAAGGAACTATTGCACGGTCACATGACTTCACGTCACCACGGCTAAGCTAAAGGCGGCTAATGTTGGGCTATAAAGGAACTACAGCACGGTCACATGACTTCACGTCACCACCGCTAAGCTAAAGGCGGCTAATGTTGGGCTATAAAGGAACTACAGCACGGTCACATGACTTCACGTCACCACCGCTAAGCTAAAGGTGGCTGACGTTGTGCGTGATGACGTTTAGTCGTCTCATTTAGACACTTGTTAGCAACCACTGTTTTTATAGAGGGGTATTTACTGACGTATTTAATGTCGTAGGACAAAAATCTCTATAGCTTATGTTAACAAAATACTTTATTTCAGGGTACCAACCAAAAACTGTCAAATTCGAGACGAGGAAGTGCTAAAATGCGAACCTATTTTCGGGTTTCAGGACTCATTCCCGCCCCACTATATGGGCCAGTTTTAGATTTTCACAAATATATGTCAATGTTCTTCCACCAGAGGGCACAAGTTTAAAAACAACCTTTAACATGTTCTGGTATCTTGATCCAGCATGTTTTTCTATAAAAAAGGAAGTCTATCCATAAAAAGTCTGAAAAGCCTTACTTTGCACTTTACACTGCCTTATTATGAATAAATGAAGAATCCATCTATCATCTAACAAGCATAAGTGGATATGCTACATTTTTTTTAAAGTTTCATTTTACATAAGCCTCACTATTTGACTCCAAGTCATGGCTTTTTTTTCAGTCAAAATGAAGGCAAAAATAGGAAATGCATGAAGAAAACTGCAACAAATATGGAAGAATGGTGAAATCTAAACATGAAGTTAGAATAATCACCCTTCAAATTGGGAAATGGTCCTCTAAATGAAATTATTATTATATCAAACTATTCTTCCCCTCTCCAAGGACCCCTGGGGGTCCTGAAAATCCACTTGAAGCACACAGTCCCAGTCTATAGAGAGAGGGCAGGAGAGAGGGCAGATGCAGGGAGGAGGATGGGAGAAGAAGCGGGAGAGGTGGGGGTGTGAAGGGGCTCCATATAACCATGGGAGCTCCAGGATTGGATTCTATTGTATACATTGAATGACTATTCACTCGTCCTCAATGGATGACGAATTTCCTCCGAACCAACCACATTAAGAAAAGAAAAAAACTAGCATTAAATCATCCTGAGGGTTGCATAAGTCAACATTTAGCGCCTAAAACGCACTGCGCTAAGCTGCAAACTCACTCTATCCAATTTGGTCATACAGAAAAACAGAAACAAAGGTTATGTCACATAAAAAAGGTCAAACGCTGTTAACCTACACTATCAGCCCGGAGTTAAACTCTAAAATCCCACATTGACACATCTGCGCAGAATACTGTGTTCGTGCCAAATCCGATGATGGCCACAGAATGGAAGCGTCTAATCCATGTGACCAATATAGAGTTTAAATGCGTGCTTATGAGAAAATACTGATTCTATGTTGATATAAAGCTGTTTTTTAGTGCACTCAAACAAAGCATCCCGGCTCTGAGGATCGACACCGTGCATCCTCGGTGCGTCACGGCAGAGCCAGCACAAGTGAGATGGACTTTTCAATGAGACCTATATGGCTTTTAGTTGAGGTTAATGGAGATTTGGAGCGGAAAACTGGCTTACAAGCATCCATGGATAGTATACGATATATATCCTGTACAATTCATAAAACCTCCCGCACAAAAACTCAACTCGCGTGAAAAACGATGCACTTGTGGTGATTTCTTTCCAGAAATGGTGCCAAATAACTCCAGATAGAAAGCACATTTGGATCAGTGCTGGCTCTGTGCTGCGCGGAGATGTTTAAAATGCACCGAGGCAAGCGGATCAAACTCGGAATAGAATACACTGGAAACAGCATTAATGCCAACCCTGAATGTATTTAACATCCTCACTTCTTGGAAAACTTTTAGTACAATGGTGCATTTCACAGAGCACCAGCTCCAGCCTGAGGATGCCGAGAGTGGGACCGGAGGATGCTGCTGATCCGGAGTCAACACCGCTCGGCCTGCATGCATTCATCACAATCACCGCCTTAGAATAAACCTTTAATATGAATAATAAATACTTCTTACCTGCACAGCCAATGAATAGCAATCCCCAGATGAGGTCCCTTATTTGCAGCATTGTAATGTGTCTCAGATATTCTCCCTTGCAGAGCAGACGCACTTTGAACAAGCGAGGTGTCTCTATACTGAGGTAAGGGGGGGGTGTAGATACCAGCCTTTTTCCCAGGGACAACAACTGCTACCGGACGGAATTTTGGTCCTTGTCGCTACCCGTGTTCACGGCACAATGAGTGACAAGCAGCAGCCGTAGCACGCACTCACACACACGCAATAGACACCAGCGCGAATTACTCCGCCCGGTAGGCAATACCCCCACACACACAGGAGAGAGAGAGAGAGGGAGGGGGAGAGAGAGAATCACAGAGAGACGCACGCACACAATAACACACACACGCACACACACAGAGAGAGAGACACGCACACACACACACAAAGGGGGCGGGCTGAGGTGCATGCAGTAACAAAGTAGTGCGCGGAGCAGCAGACAGCAGATGGTCACCAGAGGCTCTAATTCGGATTACTGAGTTTACAAACTAGCTAACTGAGGTTTAGAAACACATGGAGCAACACAATTATTCTCAATTGAGGACTAATTAAAAGTGTGCTGGAGATAAATCAGAGCAATAATGATAAGTGAAGCAATTATTCAAATTATAAATAGTTATTTTTAACATTTAGTTATATATTTTTTCATTAATATCACCTTTGCAAAATGCTGTATTCGGGGGAAATCAGGTTCCACCATTTTGGAGCCAGGATAGCAAACCCACGTGTTTTTTCTGATGGGAACTTGGGTCCCCCTCGCAGTGAGGGTGCAGCGAGCTGTTTGGCTGATGCAGAGCGGAGTGCACGTGCTGGGGTGTACGGTTTAACCGTGTCCTGGATGTAGGAAGGGCCAGATCAATTCGCAGCATGGTACGCAAGTACCATTGTCTTGAAGTGGATTCTAGCAGTTACAGGAAGCCAGTGAAGGGAGTAGAGGAGCGGCGTGGTGTGGGAGAATTTTGGAAGGTTGAAGACCAGACGAGCCGCTGCATTCTGGATGAGCCGCAGAGGTCGGATGGCACATGCAGGTAGACCAGCCAGGAGGGAGTTGCAGTAGTCTAGGCGTGAGATGACGAAAGCCTGGACCAGAACCTGCGTCGCTTTCTGGGTCAGCTGGGGACGTATCCTCCTGATGTTGTAAAGAGTGTATCTGCAGCAGCGGGTTGTAGCAGCGATGTTTGCAGTGAAGGACAGTTTGTTATCTAGGGTCACACCCAGATTCCTTGCAGTCTGAGTCGGGGAAACAACAGAGGTGCCAATGTCGATTGTTAGGTCAAGAGTGGGACAATATTTTCCCGGAAGGAAAAGCAATTCAGTCTTGTCAAGGTTGAGCTTGAGGTGGTGAGCAGACATCCACTGAGAGATGTCTGCTGATGCGAACGATAAACTTACATTCTCTCTTGGAGCGCTTTATGAATTTTCACAACAACCCAGAATTTAGAGTGTCGTCGTACAATAACGATATTTTCTCGCCCATGTATGTAATAGGTGAGTGGTATGAGCACTACAAGTCTCAGTAACCTTCGATTACACTACCAGAGCTAGTCACAAAATCGAGTTCCCTCCCGGGGAGTGGTGTGACTCCCTCACGCTGGACCACAAAGAACTTCACGACTGACGCGTACGCATGAGGGAGTACAATTGCGAGGTCGGTAGTCGTGTGTTAGTCCAAAATAGACCCGAATGAACAACAACACACTAAATATCTAGTGCGCGTGTAAAATGTCCTGGATAGGTACTAGTCTACCTGTGTTTTGAGTGTAAGTCGTACTTCGCTTGCAACCACGCATCACCGCTGGACCTTCCCAATATGTTTGAGTCGCAACGTGGGCGGTATAAACCGTAAAATTGGAAGTTACACCTCACCATGTAGCTCAACAGATGTTACTCGGTAGTCCCACTACCGCGGGGGTAGTGGCGGTTTTGTATTCGTATGCGACGCTACGGAGTGTGTGCGTGGCCGTGGTATGTGTTGGTAAGGTCTTGGGCGGTGTACATATCCTGAATTAGGTTGTTGTCGGACGGACCGGGAGTCTGGTGGTGTCGGGACCTGTTGCCGTGTCGCTTGGTTCCGGGGGCGTTGCTCTGCGTGAGTGCCTGATTTGCGTAATCTATTGGGTTTGGTTTTTTGAGGCGGTGTGCGTTCCGGTGGCTATCCCAGACAGGTGTGCTCTGTCGGGCAAATCGGGCGTTGGCGACCTCTTCGACGTCATGTATACGTCCTCGGAAGCACGCGCATTGAAGGAGGTGTTTTCGTGCTTCTTCGTACCAAAGTACCAAGGGAAGACAATAGGGGGCGCCACCCCCGGCTCCTTGGCCGTCTCAAAAAGCGGTCAGTTGCCCATAATTTATAAATTAGAAGGCCTGTTTAATATTTTTCACGGGTCAGTTTCCAGAAGAAACAATAATAACTCGAAATTTTGTTACTTATTGCTTAGATATATACATTATTATTTATGTACCTGGAGAGAAAAAGGAGGGAGAGAAGCCTGTCGCAGTCACGACGAGATTCGTCGTCAACTAGGGTCAATCCACTCACTGGGCTGTCTTATTTTATTGTATAATTATTGATCCAATCCCATAAACTCTCTTATATTTTATGATTCCCGCTACTAGACTGAACTTCCACACACCAAACGAGGCAAGTGTGACGCGACTTAGTGCCGCCCTCCTCCGACGTCCACATCGTCTCGACGCACAGAGGCAAGGACAGTCTTAATCTGAAGTGAGCGCAAAATACAGGATAGCTCTCTTTCTATTTATAGACTTAGTCACAACGCCAATGAAACTGCCCACCCACTTCGTCGTCCACCCTCTCCGCCCCGTAACGCAGTAGTAATAGTTTTTTACTAGCTATCCCGCGTGTGTGCCTCGGCAACCTGGGGGGTCTCCGCACGCATACGGCAAGATAGGTGGAACCCTGGGCAATAGCCAAAGGAGTCAAAATGACAGTATAGCCAACAGGAGCACACCCGGCTTGCCAGATATTACTTTGATTTTGTCATTGGCGTTTGCTGGCAAAAGCAGGAACACACCGGCGCCCAGGATTCTTCTCCTATTTTGGACAAGGGAACTACAAACAGAGACCCCTTACCCGGCCATCGCGGATTGTATCGTGGTCAACGATAATTATATCGAAACTAGAACCGCAGGCCCCAGAGTTATGCGGTATCTCGGGGTAGCCACCCCGGGAACCCCTTGACACCGTGGTGACGGCCCGTGTCGGTTTTAGGTCGGAGAGGAGAACCGACCGACCTCTTTTCCAGTGTGTCGGTGCCGGTGCCTATGTCGCAGTGAACACCTCGTCTACCGTTAACTACCTTACTACCACTTCCGTCCACTCGATAGCAATCGGAGTACTGTTTTTTTTGCCGATAACAGGTCAAATCACAATGTAGAGCAACAGGAGAACGGCAGAGAACTCCGGGGCGAGAAGACGAAAACCAAACGGACATGTTAATATTTGCTTTCGGATAATGTAAAAAATATTACGACGGCTTGAACGACGGGCAGTCGATGTCTGTCCACTAATTTCCAAGCGAGCAGTGCGTTCCATGTGGTACTGTACTTTCCCTTCGTTCCAGTAACCTGTCACTGTTTAAGTTAATTAACTGGCGTGGCGGATGTCCCAATTGAAAACCTCTCCCAGCTCAGCCTGGGGAACAGTTAATTGATGTCCAAGGAAGTCCAGGACAAGAACCAGGGGAGGAGAAGAGGAACATGTGGTTTGAGCGAGCCTAGTCAGTAATCGGACGTATCCAAAAAGTATGGTGACGGATGCGACTGCTGTGGGTTTAAGGTAAGACAGGAAAGGGGACGAGTCTCTGGGTTCCAGGCGCGTGCGTAGAGCNGCAATGTTCCTCCTTATCTTTACCGCGCGCCTGGCATGGCTCAGAACATATGTTTGGTGTGACTGAGAAGAAGGATGAATGCAATGTGAATCTATTAAACTATGTTCTGAGCCATGCCAGGCGCGCGGTAAAGATAAGGAGGAACATTGCCCATTTTGAGGGTAAAAAGGCTGACGTGTGGCATATAATGAAAAGGACAACAAAAAGGGATGTAAACCTTGTTTTCATACACATAAAAAAGGACATATTTTGTGAGGACTTTATAAATGGCAGCTCATTAGTTGAGATGGCTGAGGAGGGAGCTCTGTGCTTCAATTTTGAAAAATAAAGCAAGGGACGATATCTATTTATTTTTAAGTGGAAAGGAAAAAGGGAAAAAAAAAGAAAAAGAAGCAGGTTATGTTTTGTATTGATTGGTTTAATTTGTTTTGTTCATTTGTTTGAGTTTGGTTTGGTTATCTGGTTTATTTATTAATTTATTTTATTTCATACAAATTATGAAACTATTATGATTTAAATGAGTTGTATGCTATAAATACTTTATGTAAATTGTGATGAGTTGTTAAATGTCTATTTTTTGATAATAAAAGATTTTTTAAAAAGTGCATTGGTGTTTGGATCAGGGCAGCACAGGTTCAAACCCCACTGCAGTCAGCATGTCGTTGTGTCCCTGGGCAAGACACTTCACCCCAAATTGCGAATAAAGTATTATTTTCAATTTAACACATTTTTTGTTCTACTTATCGTTTCAACTACGTCTCCCAAAATGCATTGCGGGTAACACATCCAATCACCGAGCTTCAAAGATTCCTGAGGATCATGGGTAGTGTAATGTCTTCACTCTATCCAAAACTATTTGTCTCTCGTCGAAAGGGAAAAACACAAAAGCATTGTACACAATTCAAACCAATTAATGTTTTGTAATTAACAAGGACACCGTGTGTTTTAATTGTAAAATCAATCGACAGAGAATACTAATTTCATGGTGTATGAAGCGAAAGCTGCTTCCCTAGCAACCACGTTACTATGGAAACGCAGACACCGGAAATACTGTTTTCACTCCGAGAGATGGCGATAACTTTACATGGACAATCTAAAACCTCTTTAGTAACATTCGTAGTATATAAACATTTCCCTGGCGAGACCGGAACAGATCTTCGTATTCTCCACAAAATGTTGTGTTATAGTGAACCAAAGGTTGTGATAGAGGCTTGCTTGTCAACATCTGGGTATTTCTCCACTGGTTGGCCATGTTAACAATCCCGTGTAACTGTGATGTTTTGAGGGGGTGAAATCGTGTCATCCTTACGTCTCCCTGTGGACCAACGTGACATTTTCACGTCTTGCCGTGGGTTGGATTCAAATGTGGTTGAGGCTCATTAATAACCAATTCACTTGAATAAAAGTTACATTTTCACAACGCAAGGTTATTTCCAAGAGTTCTATGGTGGAACCTTCTAGTTGGTGCTATTATAATTGTGCTTGATTAGCTTAGTGTAACATCTATCAAATAAACATCACATCTGCTCTGGGTCATTCCACAACGCATATAACCCCGACTGAGAAATAATCACATTCTTAATGTCATCACTGAAATCTCTTCATATCTTTGGTGGTTTCGTCGGTGTTCCCGAATTTTTAAAGATCTTCTGTTTTTGTCTCAAAGGGGGAAAGGGGATATAAGTGTGTTATTGTGCTATCCACTGTTTAAATCTTTGTTTTTCATGTGAAAGCTTTACCTTTCCATTCTTCCAGAGTTCGGTCTTTACTCTCCAGCGTTTGGTCGTACGGGGGGGCATCTGGCTCGTCGTCGGGATCGTGGTACTGTGAGAAGTAAGGGTGGGACAGAGCCTCACTGGCCGAGATCCTCCCATCACAGTCCAGAACCAGCATACGCTTCAGGAGATCCACAGCTAACAGAGAGGGGAGGGGGGGGATGTGGTAGGAGGTTGAAAACAAGTTGAAACTGAATTACTCATTGGCACTTTGGGAGAGAAACTTGATCTTCTGCATCCTCTGGAAGCCATTCAATCAAATTTAAATTGGTAATCCAATCTGCTGTGCATCACCCACCTAATGGATTGGCCCCTCTAAATATCTTTTCCAGGTCCTGCTGGGGCATGAAGGGCAGAGACTGGATGTACTTCTGTGCCTGCAAATGGAAATCAACATTCAACTCATGTCATGTGACAATGTAGAGGATTTGGTAGTGATCAATCATTCCAACACTCACACGTATTGACCACTCACTCAACAGCCCTGTCTCTGGAATGACTGGATATCAATAATAACAGTTGACTGTGTCAAAAGAAGCAACATTACGGTGTGTGTGGAAACAATCACTCCATTCTTGTTCTCTCTCTCACATGTTCAGAGCAGATCTTTTTTAACAGGTCGGGGGTCGGGGTCCCCACCACCTCCATGATTCTCTTCAGCTGGTCGATATCTTAGTGCAGGAGGAGTTAAGGACTGTTAGGACTTGACTCAGCATATTATCTTGTCACATTGGATACAGACAAACTAAGACATATTCTACTTGCTCAGCACCACTGAAAGTTATTTTCTATTCATCGTCCCACAACACAAAGATCAGTAAATCAAATGAGCTTTAGCTTTTCGTAGACACAGAATACAAGAACCTAGATAATTCAGTCTTCACTCCTATTCGTGCTACACCTCACCCTCACAAAGGTCTGGGATTGTCATGAAAATGGAGGTCTGCATCCACAGGATGTATTAAAGATGTATGGAAGGCAGATACTAAGGCCCATTCCACACGGAGACGAAAACAAAAACAAACCTTAGTTGATATCAAAAAGGTCTTCCGTCCACACGGAATCGGCACCAGAAACATGTCCGTCCACACGAGACCGCTCGACCCGCTGTAGTACATATGCCGGGCCTGTTAGTGGCGCTGTACTTCCGCCACAAAATACACCAAAAGCAGCGAAGAAGACCCCCCGAGCATGGTTGCCATGGTTGCCTGGTTGCCCTTCTGTTTATTATCCGCGGTGGATTTAGCAACATGTAGTTCATGTAGTTCTCCATGTCCACTTGTTGCTGATGGTTGTGGTAGAGGAGCTGTAGATCTTGCACTAACATTTGTAGCATGGTCAGTAGTGTCTGGAGCACAAAAGCAACACTGTGATCCGCCATTGTTGTTGTTGTTGGCGAAACACATCAGCAATGACGCGGGTGACGCTTTTTTATGAGCGCAATTCGTGGTACCCAGTCCCAAAAACAACCTAAAAAAAAAAATTTAGTTCAAGAACCTAACGTCTCATGTTAACAGGAGAAACGATAAAAGTCTCCTATTTTTATGCACACAGTTCAAAACACTTTCGTCCCCCCTCCTTTTTTGAAGACGCTAAGTGACAAGGAGAAGACAAAGGAGGTTTGGGACGGGAGGGACTTTTATTACCTCACTGTCCGACTATCATTGGAGTATCCCTTTGAAATAATAAGTTGAATTTGTTACAAACTAGAGACTAACTTTATTACTAACTTCGGGATTGAGTTAAGAGTATGTAAGTACCCCTAAATACATTGTCATTGTGTCTCTTACAATTCACAACCGTGGGGTGTACGTTCATAAAAAATAACTATACGACAACGATTTAGCTATCAATGCATACACTTCATTCTAAAGAAACTATTTCGAAACCCATAACGGTTAAGAGTGTGCACATCGTTTTCATCCGAATAAGTTGACAACTACCCTCACGATAACACTTATTTACATTCGCGACCACTACGTCTTCATCCGAGAACCGGTGAACGAGTCTACTTTCTTTTGTGAACCTTCCTGGGGAAAACGATATCCCCTGCCCAAAGCAGGTGTGTTTTCCGGTTGTGCCTTTGCGTCTATTGCTATCGCTATTACCCGGAAGGGTTCCCACCCCATGCCTAGATGCCCCTGCTTTGCGAGAACCCCCCCGGGTTGCCGGAGGCACACATGCGGGATAATGCCTATTAAAGGACTATTGCATACTGCGGTATCGGGGCCGGGAGGCGGTGGAGACGACGANTAAGTGCTGTGTAGACTTTAAAGTCATCCACCTATTGTGTTTTTTAAATGCACCTGCCATTTCATTTATACTGTTATACAAAACTCAAGACACTGATTTCGAGAGCACTCCTAGATAGGGATTTAACAATACCAAAAACTCACGGTACGATATTTATCGCGATATTGAAATAAAAAAAATGTGAATTTCTTTTTTACTTGAATTTTTTTTCTTTATTAAATAATAAATCTGATTTGTACAGCATTTTAGTAGGATAGTAATATTTTAAAGTGTCAACAATATAATAACCAGACCCTGCAATAGAATAAATCAAGTTCCACTCAACTCTAACTCACTAACTCACTCACTCAGCATCATCAAGGTTATCTTTTAGGAATATGAACACGTCCACATTTCCAGGTAGAAGCTGGGATGTTTGGGCGTTTACAATATCCCCTGCTGTGGAAAAAACTCTCTCGCTTGGTACTGATGTTGCTGGGACAGAGAGATATGCTTTGGCCATGGGTGACAGCAGTGGGTCAAACTGTGCATTCTCTTTCCACCACTTCAAAAACAATACAGTTGTTGCCAAGAAGGTGAGGCTTATTGACAGGGCGAGATATAAATATACTGTTGGTACTTGTCAATGTCTCTAGGTATGTACATGTAGCCCTGTAAATACCATGTCTATATACCTACTTGCTGCCATGTTGGACAGGTCTCCTTTGAAAAAGAGATCGATGATCTCAATGGGACCATCTGGTTCAATAAAGGTTTACATTTTTTTTTTAAATCGCGGTAGATTTTGTTCAGTCTCACAACGGTATTGAGACATTTATTTATCGCGATATTCGATATATCGTTACATCCCTAGTNGCTTGGTACTGATGTTGCTGGGACAGAGAGATATGCTTTGGCCATGGGTTACAGCAGTGGGTCAAACTGTGCATTGTCTCTCAACCTCTTCAAAAACAATACAGTTGTTGCCAAGAAGGTGAGGCTTATTGACAGGGCGAGATATAAATATACTGTTGGTACTTGTCGATGTCTCTAGGTATGTACATGTAGCCCTGTAAATACCATGTCCTTTTGTGTTATCTGTTGTTTTATGTTCATGTTGTAACCTACTTGCTGCCATGTTGGACAGGTCTCCTTTGAAAAAGAGATCGATGATCTCAATGGGACCATCTGGTTGAATAAAGGTTTACATTTTTTTTTTTTTATCGCGGTAGATTTTGTCAGTCTCACGACGGTATTGAGACATTTATTTATCGCGATATTCGATATATCGTTACATCCCCACTCCTAGATGATGAAGGCTAATGAGAGACAAAACTATTTGTTTCACTTTTTCTAGTTAGAAATGAGAGCGCCTCCTATGAGGAAGTTTTAGGTCGAAGGTGATGCTTAGTGCTAACGCCTGCATATGATTTTGACATATGCTTTATATTTTTGGCATGTTTTTTGTTAGATGTCGGGAACAAGGATGTCTTTCCAGAGAAGCATAAGCCTTCCTCATGGTTTTAAAAAGCACTGTGCAGTGTTTTGTTCTCTAAAACACTTTTAAACTCATGGATCCGTTACTCAAACTGGACTTCCTCAATTGTATTTCTTCAATTCATTGGTATCTGTAAGACCTCCAAGACCTTGTGTTTCTTTAAATTCACCTGCCATACCATTTGTACACTTCTGTGAAACTCAAAGAGCAATCCTCAGAGAATGTGAAGTGAGCCGCGATGTTCATTTAATGATCCTCCAGATCTAAAACAATGTTTCCATGCAGCGGGCGTAGAGCTGAACTCTAAAAAAGGGAGACTTTTAGAGGCAGAGAAAAAACACACAATTCCTAAATGGCTAGCATATGGGACTGTTAACGGCTGTGGTGAGTTCAAAGCCACTATGAAAATAATACGGGCTATTTTTGACTTTGGGGAACTGGAAAAAGCAGCCAAACAAGGGGAAATTACAAGGCGTTTTTAGGTCTGCTCTCTGAATGAAACTCCATGCTGGGTCTTCAGAAGTCATAGCTCTGTAGTTGTAACAAGCTGCATTCAAAGTGGCATCCACACATTTTGTACCAATTTATTCCAGTTTACATTGATCAAATCTCATCAGTGCATGCGCTGCTCGTATTTCAGCTGTACCCCCTTTGGATTCAGCTTATATTAAGCCGTATGATACTGCTGTACAGTTATTTTAAAAGCAGAAAACCTCATCAAAATGGGACTACTTGAGTCATAATTGCGTGTTTAGTTGAGCGAACAGATGTGAGATCTCCACATATTCCACTGGGCTTTCATTCCTGCTTTTTTCCATATATTTCTGCAATTTATTCGTCGGAGCAGCAAAGAGAGTCATGTCATTAGTGGTGGTGTTTCAGATCTGCTGATAAGACATGCAGAGGTGTAAAAAAAGAGAATGAAACATAAGGCAGTGATTTTTAATATTATCCATAAATTCATGTCATATCACCCTGCTTCTTTTTCGCTGAATCAAGAAAGTGCAGACGGTTGCAAGCAGAAGTTGGAAGTGACTCTGCTGGCGGTTATATTCCCTCTGTGCTGACTGTTAGCTGTCTTTGCATATTAATCAGCGCATGAATAGAGACCATCAGTGATTTGCATTGTGTGAGCGATGAAGGCGTCCTATAGAGAATTGAATCTGGGGGGGAAAAAGAAAAAAACTGAAGGAGATGGGCTTGTAATACAAAAATGGCGCCACCCCCCCCCCCCTCCTTCAAACAACCCTTCAACCCGTGAAGGAGGTTCTTTTCCTCACAGCATTACTTTGCAAAACTCATTACAGTATGTACAGTGTGTTTTGAGATGGGCAAATGGGAACAACACACTCTTTGATGGTTTGCAATAAACCCTTAAAGTCAAATAAATGTGAACTTGTTTGTTTTGTTACTTCAGGGGGTCCGCGAGGTCTTAAAAAGTATTAATAGTTGATAAATCAATTTAGCGAAAATTAAGGCTATTAAAAAGTATTAAAGGGCATTTTCCAAGATATTACATTTTGTAGCTTGTTTTCAATAAGTATATAA